TTCCCTTCCCTTCCCTTTCCTTTCCTTTCCTTTCTTTTCCTTTACTTTCCTTTACTTTTCCTTTCCTTTCCTTTACTTTTCCTTTCCTTTTTTCTTTTTAACTCAGTAGTGCACTAACTTTATCTGGAATTATGCAGCTTACTGGATGCTGCTTATCCTCAATTCATTGAATCATAGTAGAAAAATATTTTCTGTATCGTTGTACTGGCTATTTCAATCTTAGCACATATCCTAGTCAGCTTCAGTTACCACACTGACCCAGCCTAGAGTCATCCAAGAGGAAAGAAAGCCTTGACTGAAGAATAGACTGAGTCAGATTGGCCTATATGCATGTCTGCAAAGGATTACTTTGAATATTAATTTATCCAGGAGGTCCTAGCCTACTATAGGCAGTAGAATCGCTAGGCAGTTATATTAGAAAGCTAGTTCAGCATGAGCTAACCAACAAGCAGAAATATGTTTTCAACTTCGAGCTCCTGCCCTGCTTGAGTTCCCACCCTGACTTCCTTCAATGATGGACTGTGACGTGAAAGCATATGCTGAAGGAAACACTTTCCTGCCAAGGTTGCTTTGGATGGGAGGCATTTTATCATGGCAATAGAAAGGAAACTAGAAAATCGCACACTGTGTTAGTTTTCGTAAGTGAAGATGAAACGAAGGCCTGTTTAATGTGCGAGCCTTTATGCTAGACAAGTTGCATAGTGATACTTCCAAGTCTGTGAGGAAAGTCCCAAAACCACACTGTTTTTTATCTTCTAATCGAAGTCATAGTAGCCTATGTTGCTGACTCAATGGCAAAGAAGTTCTAGACAATTTTTTGTTTTTTCTATTTTTTACTTCTTTGGCCTCTGGGCTGAGCATATTCTTTTGGGTTGTTTTTGTGTTTTGAAAAAAAACCAGGTTTGGCCTTGAATTCACTATGTAGTCTAGGCTGACCTTGAACTTGTGAAAGTCTTCCTATGTCTCCCTCCCAACCCTGTGCACACCCAAGTATGAGACTGTCACTTATCTGTACTTATTTCTTCTTTTCATTCCTCCTCAATAAGGAGGGCTTTTGTCTCCTTATTGATTGTATAGGACCTAGAGACATTTTTGGTTTGTTACAAACAGGAGAAAAATGTGCTACAGGCACCTACTGGTGAAAGCCAAGGATGCTGCAGAATGTTCAGAACTTATTATGTTCAGAACTAAGAATAATAAAGTTCAATACAGTGATTGTATCAACACTGAGAAACCCTAAGGTACTCCAGGAACAAGGTCTTTCATGATTAACTCCTGCTCTACCACACATCAACTAAAGAATTTTGGTCATCTTATTTAATTTCTTAGCCTTCGCTGCCTTTTCTTCAAATATGAAGGCATTGTATACCAGCTTTAAATTCTCATGAAAGTAACAAGAAACTGTAATGAGGCAGAACCAAGAAGAATAGCAGGTATGCTGAGTGTGTGTATGTGTGAATATGTGTGTATGTCAGTATGTCTGTATGTGTTGAAGGAGTACTTACAAAGTGTCGTCTCCATTGTGCAGATATTCCCTCTTCATATTTTTAAATTCCAAGAATAATTTTAGACATGCAGAAAAGTTATGGAAATAATATAACATTTTCCCATGTACTTTTTTTTGGCATTGTTCTAAGCTTAGCAAAATATACAAACATGATGCATTTATCAAAAACAGTAAATTAGCATCAACTCAAACTATTCACAGAATTACAGGCAGCACTAGGGTTTTTGTCTCTTTTTAAAACTGTGTCCCTTCTCCATTCCAAGGTCCAATCTAGTACCCATGTTGGATACAGTTTCTACCTGTCTCTGGAGTCTCTCCCTGTCTGGATGTTTCCCAGTCCTTTCTTTCCTTAATGGAACTGACATTTCTGAAGAAAACTGGCTAAGTATTTAGTGGAATGCACCTGGATTGATTTATTTGCTGTTCTCTTACAAAATTAAGGAGTTTTTGTAAGAATGCCACTGTGGTTGTTTGAATATGGTCCACATGGGCTCATATATTTGAATGCTTGGCTCCCAGTTTGTGGAAGTGTTTAAGAAGGATAAGAGGATAAGGTTATGTTGGGGAAGGTATGTCACTGGGGGCAGGCTTTAAGGTTTCAAAGCCAATGCTAGGCCTTGTCTCTCTCTGTCTTGGCCATCTTCACTGAGGGTCTGTATGTAAGCTCTCAGTTATTGCTCCAGCACCATGCCTGCCTACCTGTTGCTATGCTCTCCACCTTGATGGTCATGAACTTATCCTCTGAAACTGTAAGCCCTCAATAAACTATTTTATTAGATCTTTGATCATGACGTTTTGTCACAGCAATTGAAAAATAACTAAGAGGTGTTGTGGATGGTCCTGATGTTGCTTATATTTTGATGCTAATTCCACTTTCCCAGGAAGGGCTGTGGGGGAGGAGTGAGTCGTGTACACAGGTGACTTGTTGTGAGCCTTCTCCCCACCTTAACTTGTAAAATAGGGTTAGAGCCAGTGACTGAGAAGTGGAAGGGAAGGTGGAGCTGAATAGTTTGGGAGAGAAGGAGGAGAGACAGAGAGACAGGACGAGGAGGAGAAGGAAGGAAGAAAGATGGAGAAAGAGGAAGACAATCCAGATTCCATGTGGTTTTAATAGCCACAGGTAGCTATGAATATCATAAAAGGATAGAATAATTGGGATAACTTGTCTAATCTAGGTGGGCAGCTTGTATCATTATCAACTGGCTCTGAAATTACTGTGTGGGCATCTTCTGAACTGAGAATTTATTGATATGTAAATCTGACTGATTAATTATAAGCTTCTAGTGTTTTGATTTTACTGGGATACTGGGATTTGGGACCACTGATCATGGGGGTGGATGAATGTGAGCAGAATCCGCAGCAAGAGAACCTCGATCAATCGTTGGGTGGGGCTAGCCAGGGAGGCAGCAGAGTCTCCAGACGCCCAAGAGTAGCTGTGTATACTGCGGACTGGTGTCATTATTTAATATTTCCTGCAACAAAGAGGGCCACAGAAATTATATATTTTGTGGTTTTTAAGGATCAGAAGGTACACAGCACTCCTTGGTCCTGTTTCCCTTGTCATCTGGCATAGGTACTATCTGTTGCCTCTCTCCACTGTAGAATTACTACTTTTCCTTTTGCTTTGTAAATATTTGGGATGTGACACTTAGATATTGTGGAAATATTTTGCTTTTCTGCAAAGTTTGGGACACCAATTTTATATCTAGTCAGGGCCTTACCAGTTACTAATATTATCCTTTTAAATTGTCATTTTCTATTTCCTCATTCCTTTTATAATCATTATGTATGAATCCTCTATAAGGAAGATCTATTTCCATCCATGTGCTATGTTTGACTTACTTTTATTTAAAAAATAAAATCTCAGGTGGAAAAATTTTTGCCTGCGAGATTATTTTTACGATAAATTTAGACTAACACCATTTATCAGAAGGGAGGCCACCACCTCCCAAGTATTTTCCTTGCCAAATTTGTCATCTTATTTTTGACTTTGTCAGCTCACTCATTCATCTGTCTGTGTGTTAATTACCACATCTGTATCTTTGTCGTGTCTACAGTTACTAGATGAACATCTGTCCTGAGCCCTGTTTACATACTGAGTTAATATAAACGAACAAAACAGATGTAAATCCTTCCTCTTGAGGGGATTAGACTCTCAACAGGAGACAGGGAAAGGAAAAGCTCTAGTAAAGGTACACAGTAGATGTCAAAAGGTACCAGGGTATAAAATTAAAGTTAAAAGAGAAAAAAATAGCAGTTGAACTTCAGATGAGGAGGGAAGGCTCCATGAAGAGAGTGACATCTGAGCAGGGTGTGGTAATACATGCCTTTGTTCCAAGCACATAGGGGGCAGAGGCTGGAGGATCTCTGAGTTCATGGCTAACTTGGTCTACAGAGTAAGCTCCAGAACAGGCAGGTACACACAGAGAAATCCTGTCAAACACCCCCCACTCCATATTCCCAAACAAGTGACATTTGAGTCCAACCTGGAAGACCTTGAGTTCCTGGTGCCAGTGGCTCAGGTAAAAATTACAGACACGAAGGAAAGGAGAAATTGGCATCAGGTAAAAGGAAGTTGTCTGGGTTTTCTTTATCTGTTTGTCTTGTTCTATTGTTTCTTTCTTATTTTGT